CTATTATAAGCGTTTTTGGACTTGTCTTTCTTTTCCACTTTAACACTTTAGAAAGTTAATAAAGTAGGAAGTTGCAGTTTAGAGTCAGCGATATCTTTATCTTATCTTATTTGCAAAAGATTGGAAACAATTTCGGTTTATTTTTATTTATTTTTTGTTTTTTGTTTGTTTGTGTATCAATATCTGGCAACATTGCCGGCACTTAAACTGAAAGCAATAAAAAAAGCCCATGGACAGGTTTTTGCTGACAGGATACGACATTCGGTAAGGGAAACGCAACAATTATCATGATATTATCATAAACGTTATCAACGCTGTCAAAAACAGTAGCATGTACACAGATCTGTAGAACAAGTAGGTTACACAATGGAATGAAATGAAATACGCAAAAACTAGCCATGAAGATATGCTGTCATGCAGTATAGTTAAATTTTCACAAATCATGCTATAAACTTCCATAAGAGCACTAGACAAAGTTATTGTAGTTATGTATTGTTGCAATAAACAACTGATAAAATGATTCACCCTTAAATATAGTAAAGGGGGTTATTATAACACAATTCTTTAACACCAACCCCCGAAGCACATATGAACGCATACTTTATAAAACGAGCATGATGCCATTTTCATTTGAAAATGTAACTTTCAATATAATACATATTCCAGTGCATGTGGCAAAGAGGTTTGCATACTTGAACTAATGAAAGAGGTTTGTACTAGAAATGCAAACAGTAAAATTGTGTGTTTGTACATTAAACAGGTTGTGTGTGTGAGATCTTGAAGACTTGAATTTGGCTTATTCAGTACTCAAATGTTATACCTATTTATGCAATACAGTGGAATACTGCAATAAGTTTAGTATACGACCCCTATTAATAAATTTTTTATTTTTTTATATATATATATATATATGGCTCGTTCTAACACGCCCCCACATGTCTACATCATGATGTGGGAAGATTTGCATAACGCCGCCCAAATGTTCACGCAAAGAAAGAAGGCATAACTTTTATTCTCGCTGTAGTATTGTTGCTCAGGCCTGTAACCAGCTATGAGGCCACTGAGGTCCGGACCTCGGTAAATTTATATATATATATAAAAAA